TTTTTTTTTTTTGTTCCTATTTTTAGTATAAACAGATCCGTGAATTTGAATCGAAAATTAATTCTAAGATGTCGAATGAAATTCTCAGGGAAGAGTATAAAAAAATCGAACATTATGTCCATACATTACCATGTGGATGTGCTGAAGAAACAAAAGATGAAAATTTTGGTACTGCAACTATAGTTCATCCGAGTTTATACGAATTATTAAATTCTTTTCAACCAACTGTTAAAATGAATCCATTAGATCTTAAACGATATAAAAAAATTCTTCATAATATTCAAGCAATTAAAACTTTGGTTTCAAAATCAGTTAATTTTGATGAGTTAAAACCATATGAAATCGTTAAAGATTTAAATAAAGTAGCTCGTGCATTTCAACAAATGGCTACTGATGTAAATATAATTTACACAAAAAAAAAATGGATAAAATTCTTTTTCTTTTTAAAAGCCACAACCATCTTTACCTGATATATTTTTATGGATGATATATGACTTAAAACGAGTAGCTTATGCACGTTTTCAACCTGAAGATCTTCTTTTTAATTTTTGTAAAGGTGAAAAAGGTTTATATAATGGTCATGTACGAACTGTTTTTCTCAAAGTTTGTTACCATTATTATTTCTTTGCTCTGACAAAAAAGAAAAATATAATTACAATTTATTTTCAGACACCACGTTCAACAGATAAACCATTAAATGCATCAACCAATGCAAAAGTACAAATCTATCTTTGGCTTGGAATTGAAGAATATGAACCATTGATATTTAAACGATTACCTGCTGGTTTTGATATGCCATCATTACCATTAAGCCCTCTAGTGAAATCCATAAGATATAATGGTTAGAAATCAATAGAGAGTTAAAACAAACACGAGAAATAAATACAGTAAAACCTTTCATAGTGAATACTTCGCAGTCCGACTAATAAGGAAAGCCTCCACAGATGTTTCCTTTCGATTTCAACGATTTTTGCCTACAGGACAGCATAGTGTTCTAATAAAACATCTGAAAGGATTTAAGTTTCTAGTAAGATTTGACTGAGATATTGAAATGTAGGATTCAACGTTTTTGGAAAACTCAAATTTCACTCCAAAACTTGATATATATAGAGAACTCAACTGGATTAGTTTCAATAAAAAAATATTCACAAGTTTTGAACAAAGTCGCTTCGAAATATGAGATTTTCCAGATATGGATCCTTTGCTACAGATTGTGTAATTAATATAGCATGTACTTTTTCAAAGCTTCATATTTTAAAAAGACTCTATTACTAACTTTTGAATATTTTTATAGAAGCTAGTCTAGCTGATTACTCTATATACAAAAAACGAGTCTTCCGAAAACCTGAGACTTCTAAAAAATAGACAAATTAAAAATTCATTAGCTTTGTCAAATATCAATAGCAATCAAAACTTTTTTTAGGCTTTTTATTATAACATTATATAGTATCTATAAACAAAAAATCATTGAAATCAGAAGGAAACATTCAAGGAATTTCTCTAATAAGTAATCTTTGCTGGAAGCAAATTTTATTATAGTAGACATCGTCAGAGAGTTCTATAGTAAATACTTTTGAAAGAGTTCAAGGATGTTCAAAATAGAGAGATTTTACTATATTTGAATAATTGTTATTTTTCCGAGAACAAAATGCATGAAAAGATGAGTAACAATGAGCAATATCTAACTTTTGTGTTCACTAATACTCTTCAGATATTTAGAAAATGTGTCTGTTCTTTGTAAGAAAAAAAACCTGCTTTTAGAAAAGATCTAGCCTTCTTATAGTGAATATCCTCCGAACTTTTCAAAAGTGTCAACCATAGAAAGGTTACACTATATACTTTTTAGGTCGAGCTTATTACGAATTACGATGTCATTGTTATAAAGCAAGAACATTAATTGCTGCGGATGAAACAGGTTTATCCGATCCTTATTTAAGTATTACGGTTGGTAATGAGACACAAACAACACCAGTAAATCATCTTGTGTTTGTGATTTCTTTTGTTAGTTTCTTTATATTTTTATGTAGGTTATCCTAGAATCGTTATGTCCACAATGGCATATAACATTAGTTTTTCGAAATTTGATACATGTTGGAACTCGAGAAACAGCTGAGGAAATTATTGGAAATGTTGTCGTCGAATGTTATGATTATGATGAAGTAAGTAGACAGTTTAGAAGTGAAAAAAGCATATCAATAGCACGATAATATCAGTGTGAGAGTTAAAACTGATCAACTTTTCGATCAAAAAGTGAATTGATTTATAATCATCAATCGTAGTTACAATTATCAATTAGTTTAAATCGATTAACTTTTTTGAATTTTTGATTAGATTTAATTAAGTTGAAATAATAATTATTTTGATTTAATTGATACGTTTGATAAAATAAATTCAAATATATGTATTTCATTGTTCTTTACTTTAAAAACTTAGTATTTATAGATTATTCTCTGAGAGTTTTTTTTCATGTACTCATCTGCAAGTCTCCTTTTCTCATATGATATGTCAAGTGCGAATGCACGTATAATACAATATATTTTTCATTGTATATACCAATGATAATCTTTAAAATGTGAGCAGCTGAGAATAATATTTAAAAACTGAAACAATACTGTATTTCATCTCATTTTCTCTAAAATGGTAATCATCTTCAACATGTGCTGTGAGCAAATTTAGATAACACTTTCTATTAGTATAATCACGTATATTTTATTTCAATACAAAATAACTATATGAAGTTATTCTCAGTTCATTCGTATATGTCCATCACGACTTTTAGCAGCATGCAGATTGTTCTGCTGTTCTCGTTCTTCTTCATTATTATATCAACAGACGTGAGAAGAGAATATGTAATCATTACTTTCTTACAGGTTCAACATAAACAGAAATATTTTCTACATTATTCAGAAGAGTAAAGTGGATGGTAGCTCACTGATGCCTTGTGTAAGCGTACTTTATGTAAGACATAAATATGACGAATAGTTTTAATAATCGAAAAAAATCAAAATTTCATTGACTCTTCTGATTAATTTCGATTATAATCGATTAAAAATTGTGGAAAAATCATTGATTTTAATTCGTTTTTCTTCGTAATAAATGAAAAAAACCTTTAACTAATTTACTTACAATTGTATCAATTATTTTCATTAAGTTTTAATCGATTACAATCGAAATTAATCAGAATAATCAATGCAATTTTGTTTTCTCGATCCATTCCGATTATAATCGGTTACAAAATAATTAAAAATCGATTAAAAGCACATGGTCTTAATGTAATTTTTATCCTAATTGTTTTATATAGAGAGCCTTGAGTAACATTGGAAATTGTGTTGGCTAGTGACTATAACCACACTGTTTGTAAATACGATTCAAGATTATAACTATGGCCGAAAGTTATAACAATTTCAATATTCAACCAATTTACTCTATTATGAAACTTTCAAAGACATACTTTTAATTTAAAAATCGTGTATGCTTGATAAATATATGTTCAAGAAAAATTGTTGTGATTTCCACGTTTCGTTCGTGGTTGTTAACACAAAAACTCTTAATGTTGCGTAGTAAAGAATGCATCATTTCATTCACAGGCAGCGGATAACTATGAGAAAATGTAACTTGCAGATGAATACAAAAACTAACACTCAGAGAATAATCTATAAATACTAAGTTTTTCGAAATAAAAAACAATGAAATACATATACTATTTTAGTTTATTTTATCAAACATGAGAATTAAATCAAAATAGTTACTATTTCAGCTTAATTAAATCTACTCAAAAATTTAAAAAGTTAATCGACTGAAAATGGTTGATAGTTATAATTACAGTTGGTAATTACAACGCAAGTTATAACCATTTTAACTTTTTGCCGTTTTTCTCCACTATCAACTTTTTAAAAAACCGTTTGAACTTTCACACTGAATAATATGTTCGATATGTTTTTTTTAATCTTTTCAAATTGAATCCTTTACCTAATATTAACATTACAAGTTGACACTTGCTTTTTTAGTCACATTCCACTTTAAGTCATAAACTTGCTAAATATATGTTAGTGTTAATAGTTGAGTTTATGTCCAAAGTCAAATTGGTCTAAGCCAACATAAAATTCACTTGAACATAATCCGTCTAATTTGAGATTCTCCGAATCTAATTATGAATACTAACATAAATATTCATATCACAACTAATTACTTATATATTTTTGCTATTCTTATTTCTAATTTACAATAATAATGTTATCCACTATTCTATCCTTTTATAAAGTGCATTAAAAGTTTCAGTCGCTTTTCTTCTTGGATATATCATGAGTTTTGAAGATGAGTCTAATTGACTTCAAAAAGAATGTATTTTCTCAACTATAATATGATGAGCGGATAGCCTACCTTTTCCTCTATCGATCTATGGAAGCCCGAGATCTATAACAGTTTGTGTTATCAAAATATCAAGATTTTACTGAAGACTACTCATCAATATTTTTTCGAAATTTGAGCAGCGAACAGATGATTCCTTATGTAAGTTTTTATTTTGCCTTCGATTTCATGACAAGATATATTAATCTTCGGAACTTTTCTACCAAGAACGTTATCAAAAACCCTACATTGTATTTATTTTGATGATAATGCGGGTATGGGTATGAGGTGTTAATGTAGGTGCGAAGAGAATGTTCAACGGCACATACCATACCCTTACACTCGCACTCATATTCGCACTGACACCCAGCCTACGCCTACATCCACATTCACCCACACCCACCCCTCAATATGAACATAGCAAGACAATCTCACATCAATCCAAATATAACTTGTCTCGAAAGAAAACATTGTTTACATCATTCACACAGCAAGCTACACTGCTAGTGGAATATAATTCTATTAAATAAAACTATCCTCACAGGTACAATTGCATAACAGGTTATCAGTAGAACGAAGTGAAGATATTGATGCATTATCATCAAAATAAATACAATGTAGGGTTTTTGATAACGTTCTTAGTAGAAAAGTTCCGAAGATTAATATATCTTGTCATGAAATCGAAGGCAAAATAAAAACTTACATAAGGAATCATCTGTTCGCTGCTCAAATTTTGAAAAAATATTGGTGAGTAGTCTTCAGTAAAATCTTGATATTTTGATAACACAAACTGTTATCGATCTTGGGCTTGCATAGATCGGTAGAGGAAAAGGTAGGCTATCCGCTCATCATATTATAGTTGAGAAAATACATTCTTTTTGAAGTCAATTAGACTCATCTTCAAAACTCATGATATATCCAAGAAGAAAAGCGACTGAAACTTTTAATGCACTTTATAAAAGGATAGAATAGTGTCGACTCTAGATAATCCTAAAACCAGAGTTTTTTTCTCTGTTTTCATTTTTAAGTTATCCAAAAAATGCGCACGGTCATTTAACTCTGAAATGTACTATAGTCAGTGTGCTATCTTGCGGATTATCCGAGACAAACAATCGTTAGTGACTTGTCCAAGATCGTTCCATATTTGATTGCGTCGAGGCTTCAACACAGTACCTTAATAGTACATACCAAATAACTTAACCAATCAGCCACAACAGCTTCAATAATTAATCAAACTCGAAAGCTAAGCGAAAACAGTTCATGTGATCACTACAGCTGGCTTTAGTGCCCTCACAATAACACGAAGCTGCAGTTTCGAGTGAAATCTAACATTTTTTTTATAGAGTTTAAAGATATTCATGCACTGAGATATCAAAAAAAAATTAAGCATAAAAGTCATGGTTAATCCGCAGTTTTCGAACGGTTTAAACGACAGAGGCTTTCTGTTAATGATTTTAGAATGGTGATCCAGATTTAATTGGACGTTTCTACACAACAGCTAAACTTGATTTATTTAACATAAATAATCCAATGCCAAAGTCCTTATTTAAATGGTATGCATTTAAACTTGGCGAAAAACAAGCTGGAGAACTTTTAGCTGTATTTGAACTTGTTGAAGTTAATCCAGTAAATTCACCTTAAAAAAGAACTGTATCTCACCCAAAGATTTCGAATTCTTTTTTTTTTGACAATAGGAAACACGAGAAGCTGAAACAACATTTGAACTGGAAGAGATTCCAATAACAACAGATAATTATCCACCAACAAGGTATATTACTAAAATTGTGAAAAATGAAATTTATGCAATTCCATTATTACTGATACCTGCTTTTAAAACTTATCAAATTGAGGTAATTCTAATATTTAATTTTTAATTGGATACAAAAAAATCAGTATTTTTGAATAGATTATGTTTTGGGGTTTACGTGAATGTCGTACAATTAATCTTCAACCTATTCAACAAGCTGAAGTAACAATTGAATGTGCTGGTGCACGTATAACAAGAACAATAAAAAATGTACAAAAAAATCCAAATTTCGAATCATCACCTACTGAAGCAGACAAATATACACTTCGTGTTGTAAGAAAAATGAAGCAAATTTAACCATCTTTCATTTTTGAAAAATATGTTTTCTTTTTGTTTTGTTTTACAGAATTTACCAGATGACGATAATTTTTGGCCACATTTAAGTATACTTTGTGTGCAGCATCGTCTTTTTGGAATGAAAGAAATTATTGGCAATCTAGTTGTAACTAATCTACAAAAATATCTTGAGAAACCTACTCATCTTTCAACATCAAGTGGTCAAGCTATAGCTGATGCTGTGAATGAATTATCAAAAAGAATTCCATTCAACTTTAATCGCGTTCGAAAATCGGTTATTGATGCATATGAAGGTATATTTTTATGTTTTTGAATTTCTACCTCAATTATTGATTTCATTTTAGCTGCTCTAACAGCACAGGGCGATAGTTTAGCAAGAACAAAATTAGTTGAGTTTGACAGCAATGCAGATCGTGGTAGACACGATAGTGATAGTCAAGCACCAATTATCCATGCTGACTCATTGGAACAAGGAAAAACAGTAATTAGAAAAAAATTGTTTTTTTATGAGTAATTGTTCTCTATTTAACAAAAAATCAGGAAGGTGATGAATCTGGTGGAAAATTAGATGCAGAAAAACATGGGTTAAAAGAATCTAATTCGACAGCTGAATCATCTAATGATAGAACACATGAAAATGAACCTTTAACAACATTAGAAAAAACAAAAAGAAATGATATGGAAAAAGCAGCTGGATGGTGGCATAAATATTATGCATCAAAAGCAAACCTAGTATGGAATTATTTATTTTTTCTTGATTTTTCCTTTTTTTAATATTTTAATAGAAATTAATTAAACGATGCGCTATAGATATGGATGAAGGTTTACCAGATAGTTGTGATGCTTATGCCGAGTTTTTTGAAGATGAAGCAGGTTTGTTTGAAAGTTTTGTTTTTTTCATTTCATTTCTCTCGAACGATAAATTTCTTATAGCATTTGTTTCCAGAAAGCGTTGGAATTTGTGGAATCGAGCTAAAAAAATATTTCTACATGTTGGAAAAGCTCAGAAAACATTACGAACTTTAGCTGCTGAACGAATGGCACGATTGGAAAATTCTGAAAAAGTAAAAGTGAAATACCTTTATTGCTTTTTTTACAAACAATATTTCTATAATTTAATATTTTAGTCGAAATCAGCTTTTGATGAAAATTTGGATTTTATTGAAACTGAGCGTCTTAAAGAATTAACATTATTACAAACATTTGATGTAAGAAAAACAAACTATATATTGTCTATGGTCTTTTCTTGTTTTTTTTTTGTTAGATAATTGAAACAGAATTAGAAAATGTTCATGACTATGAAGGTTTTAATGATTGCCTTGATTCATTTCCTATGTAAGATATTTTTGGGGATAGTTTTATTTAAGATGTCTATTTATTTATTTAGATACAAAGGTAAAGGTTCAAGTCGATCAGATGAAGTCACTGATGAAAAACGTATCTATACGAAGTTTAAGGTTAGTATTTTATAATATTTATTCTTCATAGAAATATGCTACGGCAATAGAGTCCGTCAGATTAGTCGCAGATCCGGACTCGTTCGGATCCAAGCTGGCTTCGAATCTGAAATTTTTCCGTTAACTAGATATGTGCGAAAACTTTGGATCCAATGGGCTCTAACCTACACATTTCTCAGAGGAGTCGTCAGAGAAATGTGTACGGTGTACTAGTCACCGAATACAAAAAAGAAAAACAGAAAAAATATCTCGTATCTTTGGGGAGGGGGGGAGGCTATACTATTTCGATTGAAAAATTTCATTAAAAATATCAAAGCACGGTTTGATCAGGTGTGGAAAAGTTTCATCAATCGCGGATTCCAAAAACGTTCAATATGTCGAGTCCAAGACCGAAAATTTCGAACCCAACGGGCTCCTCACCGTAATGACATTCTTCTATGTATATAATAAAATTATAGTTGCTCTCTTGCATTGTACAAATTATCGGATGTTTAATAATTCTCAGATCATCTATATTGCTACATGCCCATCTCATCAATTTTTCATCAAAATCGACGGTTCAAATGGTTTACTCATTTTTTTGTCAACTTTTATATAATTTTGTCTATTAAATTAATGTTTTTAGTTTTGAAGAGATCGATTTCAACTTCAAAAAAGCGCTTTTAACATGCCACAGTATATTGTGTTAGATGACGTCATACTTTTTCTATGGGTTAAGTCTTCTAGTTAAGGACTATTTTTGTGGAGTTATCTTTAATAAATAATCAACCCTGAAAACTAAGTGAAAACAGCCGATGTGGTTAGTACAGGCGGCTTTAGCGCGTTTATAATAATAAGGGGATCTGGTTTCGACTGAAATCTAACATTTTTCTAAGAGTTTAAAAATATTTATGCACTGAGATACAAAAAATAAATTAAGCAGAAGAACCATGGTTAATCTCCTAGTTAATCAAACGGTTAATTATCAGTTTTTGACCGGTTTGAACAATATGGGTATTAATTTTATTGGTACGCTTTAGTCACATTGCGGATAATGAATATCTAAACTCTGTGTTTCTGCGTTCAAATTATGACGATTAAGAAAATGGACAATCGATCCAAGAACTTCTCTGTTGTATGGAAAATATCAGACTTAGGAAATTATTTTGACAGTATTCTTCATACAGATATCGTTGGTCGTCAAAGAAAATGTTTCTTCTTTTGCCTTAAGATAGAATAGTCACGAATTCTGTCGCAAAATTATACATCGAGAACTGGCACCTGATATTATCTCTTACTCGACAGTTAGTAAAAATTCATTGTTATAGAACACTTTTAAAGCCTGTTATCTATCAGAAGGATGCATTGCATGAATAGGTATTGTCGATAGATAACAATGATGAACAGGCTAAGTACACAAAGAATCAAAATATATACTCACGATGATAAATTGTTCATGTCTATAGATAAGCAGTCATCTTGTTTGGCTGAGTAATTAAATTCAGTTCCATAGACATCAAGTATGATTGAGCAGAAAACCATTAAAACTATTGGAATTTTCATAGTAATGATGAATAGAGATCGACAAGTTCAGTTCTAGTTCACATTTAAAAAACGCTTGAAAAGTTTTTCGCATCTTAACTGATCTGTTCGAACAATTTTTGTTCTATTTCTAAGAAACACATTTCATATTTAAAGAAACTTTTCTTCTGTTGTTAAGTTGTCGTTCTCGAAATAGAACAAAATTTTTCGGACAGCTCAGTTCAAGGAAGTAAACTGTTGGAACAAATTATTTCCTACCAGATGAACTTTTTGAACAGATCTTATAATACGATCTAATCTGCCTGAACATTTGTTTTGACAGGATCTAATCTCGTCCTACAATACTTTTGCTTATTTGATTTGAACTTTGAACTGGACGCTAGTCAACTCATAGTTACAGTTTAGCTCTTGTCTTCGCTTGTTTTTCGCATAATAATGAATAATTACTTGTCGATCATTGTTTTCATTCTATAGAATTAATACATATTACTAGTAGAATTTATTAGATCTGCTTCATTATAAGTATGAAAAAATCATTCTTTGTAAAATACTACTGTAACTATTTCCATTAGTTTCATTTTTATAATAATGAAATTAGTTAAAAACAATATTTCGATAAACTCTTAATGCTTTTTTTGTTTAGTTATCAGTATAAGTATTTGATTTTTTTTGCCATGAAAATTTGTTTGCATTTTTTCTTCATTATTTATTTCACGTTCAGGGTAAATTCCGTATTCAAGAAATTCCAATGAACAGAACAAATAGTATCCATCGAATGTCTATTAATCCAGCTCTTTTATATCCTGAAATGAAGCCATTCTTGCAATCAAAAAATGATTCAAATATGTCAACAAATCAACTAATGCTTCAACTAGATTTTAATAAAAATCCCATAACACTAAAATGTCGATTGTATATAATAAAAGCTCTATTATATCGTGGTTCGGATCGATCAGGCAAAGCAGATCCATTTATAAAAATTGCATTAAACAATGAGACTATAATTGATGATGTTAATGGAAAACTTCAAAATACATTGGAACCTACTTTTGGCAAGTGAGTATTCAACAAAATAAAAACAAAAAGATTTTTATTTTTATTTTTTTTTAAAATAGATCATTTGAATTTGATGTTCAATTACCTATTCGATCCTTACTAGGTATACAAATATGGGATTGGGATATGACAAGTTCCAATGATATAATTGCTGAAACAAAAATTGATATTGAAAATCGTTGGCTTTCATGTCATAGAGCAACTTGTGGTTTAGCAAAACGATATGACAGGTCTATTAAACAATTTAAATTAATATATTAAACATTCAATTTTTCTTATATTTAGTGCGGGTTATAATACTTGGCGCGATACAAAAAAACCAGCAATAATTTTAACTGAATTATGCCGAACAACAAATATTAATGTACCAATTTATGCGGAAAATTTTCGTTCAGTATCAGTCGGTAATGAAACTTTCGAATGTGATCCTGCATGTGTTGAATTTATAACAAATACAAAATCGCCCACGGATACATTACATCGAAAAGCTCATCATGAATCACCTGAAGAATATATACGACAAAATACCGCATTAGCTGCTCTACATGCATGGAGAAGAAAAATTAATCCGGTAAAAAAACTATCTTCAATTTTTTTCATTTCTTTTATTATTCAACGTTATATAGAAATGTGCTTTGGTTGCTGAACACATTGAATGTCGATCACTTTTTAATCCAGAGTTTCCTGAAATTGAACAAGGAAAATTAGAAATGTGGTTAGATTTTTTTCCAATGTCACGACCACCTTCAAGTGCTATGACTGATATAACACCACCTAAACCCACTTCTTATCAATTACGTGTAACTATCTGGAATACAACTGATGTAGAATTAAATGATGAAAATTTTCTTACGGGAGAGAAAACTTCAGATATTTATGTTAAAGCATGGATTGTAGGAGAAGCCGTCGATGCACAACAAACAGATATTCATTATCGGTTCGTTTTATCCATTAAAAATAACAAAATAAATAAATAAATATATATACATATATCCTTTTTAATAATAGATCATTAACAGGGGAAGGAAATTTTAATTGGCGATTCGTATTCGATTTTAACTATTTAGATATAGAAGAAAAAGTTGTTTTTGAAGCAAAAGATTCCGTATTTCAAGTTGGTAATACAACAAAAAAGATTCCACCAAGAATTATTATTCGTGTTTACGATGCAGATTTTTTTTCAGCTGATGATTTTCTTGGTTTGTTTATTCTTTTTTTTATCATTGAATAAATTAAAATTCTTCTAGGTGAATGTATTTTTAATCTGACACATATACCAATTGGTGCTCAAGTATCAAAAAAATGTAAAGCTAATATTCTGCTTAATCCAAAACAAAAAGCGATTAATTTATTTGGCAATAAGCGTATTGCTGGTATTAAGATTTGATTTGTTTTTTTTTCGATTGAATTTTCTTCAATTGTATTTTGAATATTTAGGTTGGTGGCCAATGATTGCTCCACTGAAAGAGGGTGAAATTCGTGATAAAACTTTGTTAGGAGTAAGTCAACACTAAACAAATAAGAAAAGAAAACCAATATTTAATTTTTTTATTTTGAAAGGGAAAACTTGAAGCTGAATTGTCACTTGTTACTGCTGAAGAAGCAGAAAAAAATCCAGTTGGAAAAGCACGTGCAGAACCACAACCACTTGAAGAGCCAAAGTTTGTTTTAATATTTGATTTTATAAAAATGAATTCTATTTATTCTAGTCGTCCAAAAACATCATTTCTTTGGTTTACATCACCATGGAAAACATTTCGTTATATTGTATGGCGTAATTTCAAATGGGCAATTATTCTTGGAATCTTTTTATTTATTGGTGTTATTTTTCTTTTACTTGCTGTTTGGACACTACCTGGTGAAATAGTTAGCCAAGTAGCAACTAAAATCTTTAAAAATGGATAAGTGACATTATAATTATTTATTTTCAAAATTATCATATTATATTTTTCATAACATGTTTGTACATGTTCATTTTAACCCTTTGAGGACCAAATTTTTTTTAATCGAAAAAACATTTTTCAACCTTTTTATTTTATTTTAATTCAAAATGGCTAAATAAACATCTTATGAAAATCAAAAAAATTTTTTTTTCATCTTTTGAACAAAATATCAATTTGCAATTAAAGCATTCGAAGTTGAATCGAACTTCTGCTTCCCTGGCACTATAATAAGCACGTATTCTTCTTGCTCCTTTCACAGGCAAATCTATTTTATTATCAAAATTAAGGGCAATTTTTGGTGATGTTAGTTTAGACTTCTTGTCAGAAGGAGGTCTTCCGTGACTTATTTATTCACTGCTAGAGCAGAGAGATTTCACCACTAAAATCATGTAGTGTAAGTATGTTAATTTATCCTGAGCTAAATGATTATATCAAATAAATGAGTTGGAAATAGATACATTTAGAAAATAAATAAAACTTCGAAGCCAGCTTGGGAGTGGATGTGGGTGTGAGCGTCAAACATTCCTTTGTCCACACTTACATCCATAACCACACCTCCACTCATCAATATCCATACCCACATCCTTCAAAATCAACAACTGAACGATGAAATTCAACAAGTTCGTCAAGAAAATCAAAAGTTAATACTTAAACAACAACAACTAACCCAAATGGAACAACAAATTATTCAATTTAATCAATTTAGAAACAAAACATTAAGTACTTAATTTATCTCGATGTAATTTAACAAGTAGAGGAAAATCGGAACTTTCACAAGCAATTATAGAAAGAAAACAATTTTAACTTATTATTTAATTCAATGTTATGTGTTGTTTTCTTATTTTTGTTTTACTTTATTGTTAACTTTCATGTTGAACTGAAAATAAATATTGATATTTTGAAATGAGTTTTGCCAACATTGTATATGATAAAGAGTGAGTTACTATAGTCAAGCTTATCATCATATATTCTGATTGAATTATTGCTAATCAAGTTGTATGTTCATCATCAGAGGAGAATTTAAATTCAAGTGGAAGATGTGCATCAAGAATGTCTCTTCAACACATATATTGAAAAAATTCGCTTTTTTTTATTAAAATATTTAATAAAGAGTTTGTTTTTGACTTTAGATTGATGATCTTTATAAAGATTGTAAGGGTATTAAATTATTTTTACTTGATAATGAAGTTCGAGATACAACGAATATAAATCTATTTTCTTGATCTCTCATCAAATAGTTTAAACCATAAACTAATTATGCATTTACATTATTTAGAAAAGGTGAAATATATTGAAAAAAAACACTATCCTTAATTTTCTTTTTTTTTCATTGTTGACAGAATATAATTAATGAATATGAATACTGAAATATTTTTGGTAGAAGTCTGGCTCAACTGTTTAAAAAGGTCAGTGGAACAATTTTTGGGGATGGGTGTGGGTGTGGATTAGGTGGAAGAGAGGATCTGCACCCATACATCCCTACACACCCACACCCATACCCTCATTAAATATATCTCGTTTTAGTTTTAGACGATGGGCGAATATATCAAGGTATTCAATCAAACACAATTTAGTCCAATTGATTCATCTGAGAACCATAAATATATGGATTATGATAGAAAAGGTAAACTAACTGAAGTAATAAATGAAGTTGGGTTTAAATTTATTAAAGTTGAATAAACAAAAAAAATGTGTTCTTCATTCATTCGTTCATTCAAATATAAAATGCAAAACTATGATTAACACATAACTTGCACTTATAGAAGTTTTGCTGTGTCCATCTATCTTAAACTGATAGAGATATAAGAAAATAGCCTGCTACGCTTTTTTTTTTGTTTCCATTCATTATTTGAGGACATAAGTTCAGTATTTATAAAACATAATCTAATGTCATAGACTAATTCATCTTCATCAACATCAAATACGAATAATATTTATGAGTCATTGTTAGGTTAATTACTTTTATTCTTTTCTAATCCAAATGCTAAATGAATATTTGATTAGGATGTTATGCGACCAACTATGAATTATATTCAAACATATATGAAAGATATTGGTACAGCAGATTCAAATAATAAAGATGAAACATCTTAGTGACGTTAAACGTTTTTGTGTACTCAAAAAGTGAGTACACTCTAGAATCGGTCAGTATGTCGGTCCGGCCGGCCGTTTACACGATAACTTTTGAAAGGAGAGTCCGATGGCGATGAAATTTTCTACACAGCTTAGTCTCAACAATATCTCGGTCGAGTTCGAAGATGAGAAGGATTGGCCGAGCCGTTGCTGAGTTATTAGAAAAATAGTCATTTTTCCCTACGCCTTCCTATGCGAGAATCGACCTATCCCCGCTTTCGTAAAAAACTTTTCCTATTATAGTCAAATCAAACCCCAACTATTATACACCATTCGATAGAGAATTTCACGTGCTACAAAATGGTATATAAAACACAAAGAAATAGGAAGACTAACTCACCTATTGCAAGGATAATTAAACGGAAATTGGTTCTGTTTGTGTTCACACTCTAATTGATCGACAATTAGAGCTCTGTCTTTCGATCATAGAGATGACAGTTCGAGGTTTTTTGGGTCGGAGAACTCCAATTTGAGCTCCGTTTGCCTCGAACTCCTTTTGGTTGAGCAGTAACCAATAGAAATCAAGTTATCGGAAAAACGACTTTCCTAGGGTAAATCAAGGCGAAGAGTTCAAATCTGAGCTCTATTCATCTCTAAATCCTAGTGGTTGAGCAGTAGCCAATAGAAATCAACTGTTTATAGAAAAGATTTGCCAGGATAATTTTTATGCCCACACATTCTAGGATGACTCATCTATCCCATTCACTTTTTGAAGTACACATAACTCTCGGATTTAAATCCGAGGTTTCCGCATTTATTTCAATCAGATAAAGAAATATCTTCACTATTAAATCCAATAATAATATCGTTCATTTTTTTGAAAAGCTATTAATTCGAATAATAAAGTACACGAGATGAATTTCATATATATCGCAAATTATTCAATTTACTTCCAAAACTTAATTGATCTAGATTGATACTCATAGATATCAGTTTGAACACATCAAAAAGACAGTTTACCTTGAATTCGGTCTCATTCAATGATTTCTCAGTTTGGTCCTAAGATTATCAAAATTATAATAATTCATTCACACTTATATTTAATTTAGAAGAGAATAATTTGTATAATAAAGAATAATAGGAAAAATACAAAAGTTATCAGTATTTATAATGTACAAGCACATTATATGTATAATGAAAAAAAATTAAATTGTTTATTTTTGCTGCTTTATAAATTTCGTTTTTACGGTTTTGTTGCATTGAATTGGTAATTGTCAACCTTGATAATTAAATACAAGTGCAATATGATATGTAGTGGTAAATTGCATATTCACTTTTCGTATTCAGTATGTATGTCGCAACAATGATCGTTCATCCATCATTTGGCTTAAGTTAGATTATTATTTGAGTGTTCTGCTCAACTAATGATCATTCGAGAATAAATTCTTTACATGACTAATCATGAAGAGAAGTGAAGGCTTATCTCATCTCCTCTTTATTTTATGAATTATGACTGAAATGGAAAAAGATCGAAATGAGAGATTATTAAATTGGACTGAAACGGAGTAGGACTGTCCAAAATGACATATTAATACATATTTCAAAACATCAATTCTTGAAAGATTAGTTAACGATAGAGTAAAGTCAACTGTAATAATATCGAAATTTTTCTCAAAATCTATTTAACTTATTTTAAAGACAAAACAAAAAAATTAGTTTTCAAACTAGTATATCTTTTTTTTTATTGAGATTAATGAATAACAAGTCTTATATATTATTGAAAAAATCAAAGCCAAATAGAGAACATTGAGTCACAACAATTTGTATAAAATAGAAATTTATTATACTTTAAATCAGTATTTTCAATAAGCCAACGATGAAGATCACTATCGTTTATGATTTGATTTAATTGTATAACATCAAATGTTGTACAAAAATTAACCAAATAACACCAATAACGAGATCTCTTATAATAGATAGTACCATAATCACTAAATAAAGTTTGAAAACAACGAACAAATAATGTTCTATCCAATGGAAATAATAATTGTAAATATTTAACATTAGGAAATTGATGAGCAAGAATAGAAATTTCTTTTTCATCAATCAAACGACGTTGAACAATAAGATGACGAATATTAGGTTGAACTATTGAATTCATCAAACCAATAGCTAAAGTAAAAAGTAAAAAGATTTGTTTATTTTTTATTTTTTGATACAACATATACATACGTGTTTGTTCAGTAAGAATTAACTTTGAAATTCGTTGCGGTAATACTATATCAATTGTTAAACAAGTTGTAAGTTGATAAGCTCGATAAAATCGTGTTTTTAATTGATATAAATCATTTTTCATTGTAATCTTAACATGATCCATATGTTCATCTCGTTTAACACTTGGTAAAACTGATGTATTACATCCACTATTAATAATAGGTAATCGTCGTTTATCATTTTTATTTGATGGCCATGGTACTGAAAAAATATGTACCCATTGAGAGCTTTCATTTGCATAAAAAACAACATTCATTGGCCATTGAATAAAATCTTTAATAAATGTTTTAGTCATAATTCTATGTGTCATTGTATAATCAAATTGACAAAGATATGGAAAATATTCATTTAATATTGATTCAAATTTAGGACCATGACAAAATATTGGATCAGGTGTATCACGAATACTTAACGTTAATTTATGAAGAGCAGGCATATAACCAAAAATACATTTAATATCATCAATAATTAATCCAATACGAGGTTCCAATAGAGTAAATTCAGTTAATCGCGGACATGATGATGTGCATTGAGGACGAAGACAAGCTGTAATTTTAAAGAAACAAGCAAATGAAATTAATCATAACACGACCGATTTTAGGACTACTACTTGGTGTCTATCTAGGATCCATGTGAACTCCAATAGATAAAATAAACATAACATACGAAGTTGTTGAAATCATGCGTCACTATTTAGGATTTACATATATTCTGAATTGCTCTACATAAGAAGAACAATTGCATATGATTGAATTATGATATTAATGTATTGTACTAAGTGTTCCTAATACATACGTAAAAGGACATGATTCAATTAAATGTTACGAATGCATAAAATAGCACTGAATCTCACTGGAGTTCTGGCAAACCCTAAGTAGTCAACAAGCGATCACATGTACTTCGGATTGGTCTACTTATATAGATGACAGTTGGACATAACTGGCAGATACTATCAGCACACTCTACTAGTCTTCACTAGAACATATATAGTAGTGGACAAATTTGTATTGCGATGCTCTTATTGCTTAATTTCAAAGAGAATTATGATGAATGACAGCTATTCTTATTGTCAGCCTCATAACTCTGGAAAGGACGAGTATTCTGTGTTAGTCGACTCCTCAATATGTAATACTATGTCTCAGTTATCTATAGTATTAATTTCATTGAAGCTCATCAATTCTTTCAAAGATTGTGCTTATTTTACTGGAATCATTATCGTAGAGAGAAATCATCTACTGTCTTTTTGAAGATTAATAGGTCAGTAACAGTTCAATAGAATGAATTCAAATTTGTTGAGAAGTTTTCTCTACAATTAGGCATTATTGCGTACAAGTTTCAGAAGCGAATCTTGCACTAAAGAGAGATGGAACATAGATGACAATTTTGTTAGTTCCAAGGATTCAGAAACATGAATATTGGATCAAATGAACTTATCTTTCAGATGAAGAAAAACCATAGACAGGACTTCAGCTATATGTGGAAGCGTTAGGAATTAGTCATATTTTTAGTACACAACAGCGCAAAATTTTGTAGGAAGTCTTTTTTAGGCTATAATGCATAGAGCGAAAAATAGATGCCGTCTATCATAATTCTCTTTGTAATTCAGCAATATCGGTATCGCAATGTCAATGATCTACATTCTTGGTGAAGTATATGTACATAAATTTTCATACTTCTAGCATATACTGTGGCCACGATCGGCTGTGGCAGAGACTTTTGTCTACTTCTGTATGTATAATGAGCGGTTTCATTTGGAAATATATCGCCGTCGATAATAAACAAAATACTTACTGAGTAATCGTGCTTGACGCAATTCAACAGACATTGTTTCAACATTTGGTACCAGTCCACTGAGTAATATATATAAATCATCGATTGTTTGTAAAACAATCTGAACATGACGAAGAGTTTGATGAGGTCTTAATAATTTGTGTAATAAAAGTCCATTAGGTAATTCAATGTTAACTGTATGCACAGTAGATAGTAATCCATCGAATAATAAACGGCCAATCGATGTATCCCATGGTTCTAGACAAACTATAACTGACAAGAAATTTTTTTATTTGCTTGATTATTTTTCAATTATAAGAAAGACTTTCAAATTTCTATGAGTTTTAATATTTTTTCGAGATCTGTAAAGATGTATTATATACGAGAAAGTCTCTTACGAAGGAACGTTTTCAACTCATAAATTGCTTTTGAATTTGAACTCTGTGAATAAGATAGACTCCAATGAGATATGAAAAATCTCACAAGAATAAGTTCCCTTAGATCTTCTTTCTGTCCAGAGTGATGGAGATTTTACTAGAATTTTAGCCTTTGGCATGATATATATATATATATATTAGCATATCAAATGATAGTATTTCGATCTGAGGATTTTCTCATAGACAGGTGTATTTGTCAGTAAAATGCCCTGAGAATTTCAGCTCAAAAAATGTTTCCTTCCCGAGATATTAAAGATATTCTTTCGAGCTGAAATTTTCAGGACATTCCACGGACAAATAGCCATGTCTATTAGCAAAATTTCAGGTCAAAAATGCCGTCATTCGATTTGTTAGTATATACCATACCAGAGGCTCTAATTCTAGAAAAATGCCAACCACTCTGAACAGAAGGTCTAATGGAACTTCTTCTTTTGAGATTTTTCGATTTCACTGGAATCTATCTTATTCAAAGTTCAAAATCAAAAGCAATTGATCAGTTGAAAACATTTCCTCGTTAGTGATTTTTGTTAAATAAAATATTCAACCTGGTAATTTAGGAATGACAGAATTTTTCAAATAGACTTACTATTATGTTCAGCAAGCTTACGAACGGTAATATGAAGATATTCAAGCTGTATTAAATCATTCATATATAGTGCAACAATATCATCAAGATCAAATGATGAACAATCGATTAATGTAAGGTATTTTAAATTGACAAATACCGATCGAATTACATCTGTATACATATAATTAAAATACCGTTGAGTTACACAAGTCACATGTTCATTACTCAATATCAATGATTCAGGTCGAAGAGGATAATTTGAACAAGAGAATAAACTTATTAAATATTTATATTCATTGTATGTCATTTGACCAAGTTTTATCTTTGTATAATAATTAACAATTAGACGATGAAGACGCATATTAGGCATTTCAGGTGTATAAAATGAATATAAAACATAAGCTGGTGACATATAACGGCAAATACGAAGTAAAATTTTATCTGATAAATCAAGTAAACAAGTTACATTATGATACAGAGGTTCTATTGATAATCGACTAAACGAATCTAATTCAAATAAAACAAAAAAATTAGCAATTATTGCTTAAAATTGCAGAAGCCCACTTTGAATAATAAGATAAAAGACATCATACTTACCATCATCGTCGAGAAGATATTCTGTATCTTTGCTCATTGTTGTTCTTATTCTAGTGACAGTTTGAAATAATACAATCAATATAGGATTGTAATTAATTTGAACAATGTGCTTGAGTTTATATACGGTTTTTTTTTCTCTTTGTATTTCTATTTATATTCATGAAATAGTATTGATGCATTTGAAAATAATACAGGTCATACAAATAAATATGTGTTTGACCGTTGCATATATAGAGTGACCTCGATAATATCTTGCAAGTAGCATCAAGATTGAATATGATTGGTAGAAAATCTTCGTGACGAACAGATCAAATTATTCGAAAAAAACAGGCAATGCATTATCAAATGGAATTATCCGTTATGCTAATAATATAAAAAGTCAGCTTCAACAACTAAATATCTTTTCATTTTCTTATCATTGTTGAACAGTTCGATACAATGTCGATAGCTCTACTAGCATCTTTTGAGATGTATTGATTATGACCACGAAAAGTTAGCCAACCATTTGAAAGTTAAATTCAGTATAAAGTAAAGATTTTCCATTTCGAAATTTCGAGCTCACTTTTCTGATCTGGTTGTAAACGATTGTCGGAAACTATCAATGACTAGTATTTTCAGTTCATGTTTTCATTACATAAATATCACAAAATATTCAAGTTTTTTTATGTCAGCTTTGCGAACTGTTACCTGATGCAATTGTGACAATATGACTTCGATGGGATTGAAGTCAAAATCATAGTCACTAGTACAAAATTTTTCGGAGTCGAAGTAATCGTGAAAAAAAACAGTCTTTTAAAGTCTATGTCTGAGCTATACCAGTAAAATAGTGAAGAATTTTTACTTTTATATAGTGACAATTTTAGTTTCCATGTGCTGAGTAGTGAACAAAAAAATACACTGCTCTATAGGCTCATAAGTTTCAAGAGAAAAAAACATCCGAGAGGCATTCACAATACCAAATATCACAGAAAGAAATATACATGATACTCAAAAAAAAAATGTTCGAAGCTGCAGGAGTGAAAACCTTCGGAGTTAATAAGTTTGAGTTTGCAGGCTTCTACTAATCCTCTTGTAGGCACATTGTTTACGAGACGGTCACCTATGGAAACAGTTGTAATGATTGCCTGTGCACCATGCTGTGTTGGACCAAATAAGGTCATTTCTTTTGCGCTTCATCAATGCATGCAAAAAACTCCAAATTACGAAGATAGAATTCAAATATATGTCTTTTTGAAAGAGACAATATTTTGAAGTTGTATAACTCGAAGATGTAGATATATGATGTTGTTTGAGTATCGGATGAAAATGAGAATATTCAGTTTACTGCACTCTCACTCTCATCCACAGACATATCATACTCTATCCATACTTTGCCTCACTAAACCATCACAATCAGGCGCAGAATCCCATCGAAACTCTCAATTTTATTCAAAGTATGCTGAAGTAAAATATAAAAATGTATTTCAAAAAAAAAAAACTCAATAGTTTTTTCAAAATAAGTTTCAATAACAACGTCGTTTCTTTCGAGATGCATAGTCAATAATAGCACACGATCTCGGCAACTATTCATGGTCGTTATTGTCTTTTTTCTCTTCTTCAATAACAGAGTGGAGTGGAGCAACAGTAGTTGTTGGTTTTGTTTTCTTTTTTATCGTCTTTATGTGTTTAACATGAACACCTTTAGCCGTATATTTCTCATCATTGTCAGTAGAAGCAGCAGAGACATTTACTTTTGAATTTGTTGATGTCAAATGAATGGTATCAATTTGTGAAGGTCTAGGTTCATCTGTAGTTCGTAATGTACGTGGTAGAGCGGTTTTCACAGGTGTTTTGGTATCATTCATTTCTACTAAACTTGCAGATTGTAAATTTTCATCAACATCGTCTAATCGAATAGTGCTTTCAATAATTGATGGACGAATGTCATCAACTGGAAGTGATTTTGTTGCTGTTGGATGTGTGAGTACATGAGTGACATGAACATGATCTATATCACCTACACTACTACGTCTTGCAAGTCTTTTTTTATGAATATCTTTTGAATGTTGTTTTGATAGTTCTTCATCAAAACTATTTGATCTTCGTTTCGTTTTAATTTTCATTGAAGAGGTGAGTTGACCATTTTTTTTCTGATGTAATTCAATTATAAGTAGACCTTTTTTCTTTTTTTCATATTTAGGTATCAAGTTCGATGATTGTACATTTAGATTTAATATAGTCGATACTGTTTCGATTGTCTCTTCTTTTCGAGCAGATGTACTAGTTGTCATCTTTTGTTCAGCATCATTATCAATTTTGGGGAAAGCAAGTTTCATCTTGGAAGTTATCATGTTCAAATCGTTCTCTTTCGTATTTGATGTTAATTTTTGAGACACAATCGATCTTGCTGTACTTTTGCCAACCATAGTGTTAGTAGATTTGATTTTCGTAGTAGCAGAAAAAATATTGAGCGAAGATTCTAAAGATGGAAGCGGATCCATACATAACTTAGTGTCATCTGTCTTGATAGCTGAGTTAGAGTTATATAATTTATGGCGAAATCTAACAGTAGAATGTCTACAATAGAACTGGAAAAATGGTATCTTAATTATTGAATTTATACATACTTCTTATAATATCGCACAAAGCAACCACTAATGATAAGAGCAATTATAAAAAACAAACCGATAAGACCTCCAATCAATGGCCAATTGGTAGCATTTCCTGAACATCAAAAAAGAAAAAGATTTACTACTAAAGAGTATAACAAAAAAAACATTTAGAAACCTGTTGATTTTTTCGACGTTCCCGTTGATGCTGTAGTAGTTGTTGTTATTGTTGTTGTCGTAGTTGTTGATATTGTTGTTGTTGTAGTTGTTGTAGTTGTCGTTGTTGTAGTTGTTGTAGTTGTCGTTGTTGTAGTTGTTGTAGTTGTCGTTGTTGTAATGTATACAACTCCAGGACATGTATTCTCACCATTTTCTGTGACATAGAATGTGAAACAGTATTGTGAACTCTGTGAACCTTGACTAAAATAAAATCGAAAAGTTGTTTTTTTTTATTTTGTTAATTTGATTAATATGTACCTGTTGAGAGCCACTGCACACATTACTTGATAGCCAACTTGACTTTTTGTTGGTGTCCATGTTAAATTTTTATAGTAAACACTAGAATTCAACATTATGACAGAAGTCTGAACCATACCAGAAAAAGACAATGTAGAAATATCGGTAATAGTGACAGTTGCTCCACAATGATTGATTGCCAATAATGTTGATTTAAATGTGTCATTGACTTTGATTGGTGTGCATGATTGTGAAAGAAGTATCAGTTCAGGTTGATCGAGACATGATGGTGAAGCAATGACTTTCACAATAAATTGAACAGGTACTGTACTTAATGGCGCGGTACTGGTCGAGTTCATGAAATCTTCTACCTATTTAAAAAGAAAAAGAAAAGAAATCAATTTCTTCTTTTGAGAATGAAAGAATAAAAAGATAACCATGAGTCCAACAGCATACTTGCTACCAACTGTGGTGCCAGTAATTACAATAGTGCAGTTTGAATAAATGATTGTATTTGATGGCAATGAACTCGGTGGACAAACGCCTCCACATTCATCAACACCATTTGATGATGTTGCCCAACGACAACGCAAAACATCTCCATCAGCATCACTCGCTGATACAGTGATAATTGTTATTTCATTCACTATAATATTGATCGGAGACATCATGGTAGAAACTGGAGCATTATTGTACTTCCCATTATCAGTTCTGAGTACTAGATTGATGTACGATGAAACAGACCAACTCCCTCCGCCTGTTGCTAGAGAACCCCATGCACTGCCTCGAAAAGCTATTGAAAATGTGCTGCCACTTGGAATATAAACTGTATCTAAACGTTGTCCAACGGTAATACCATTTACTACAGAAATATCGGTACAACGTGGTGTAGCAAGCACAGTTCCAAAACCAGCTGGACAAGATGGAACGCAAATAAGTGATGCTACTGAAACGGGAACTAATTGATTAGCAGCAATCATAGCACTTGTGCATATAGCGGATGTATACGTCCATGAATATGTTTGAGTTATGACAACAGCCACAGGTGTACCAATAGCCGATTTATTCTGTAGTTGCCAAGTAATGGTACCACCCAGAAAATGACTTCCACTGACCATAATGATAAATGTTGAGACAAAAAATACGTTGAGGAAAAACATCGATATTAATGCCATTATAATTTTGAATTCTTTTTTTTCACAAAATTGAGTAGACTTTTTGACTTCAGAGAATGACTTACTTAGTGTATGAAATTCAAATTGTGTGCAATTGTAAGAAATCTTCAAATGGCAAATATAAACAATTCACCAATAATATGATGATTGATTTTTTTTCTATCCTCGATAGCTGACTTATAGAATTGTTTCTGCGTAGAATTATTTCATTAAAGAAGTAAGTAATACAAATCTCCAACAAAATTTTTTTTTCATTAAATTTGAAGTTTTGAATGTTTACAAATATTGAAAAGAGAAGAGTGAGTGAAAACAATGGATTTTTTTAACAAAAAACAGCACATACACCTCATCGTAGATGAATTTCATATAAAGGGTGTGGATGTGGGTGTGGAGGTGTGGGTGTGCAATGTAGATATAGATGTGGGTATCTATCTTCTGCTGATCCACACTCACACCACACGCCTACACCTACACCCACACCCTCAAATCTTGTTAACGTCCTAGTAGTGACATCCATGCTAAAACTAAATCATCTTTCTTTTAGTTCAAAATGTGAAGAAATTATATTTGACTCTTAATTGAACAAATCTTGAAAAATTTCTCTAATTAATTGACAATTTACAATCAGTTACTGAAATCAGCAATTAAATACGATTTACTGTCGATTTTCGAAAAATCGCTTCTTGTACCATAATCACGGTAAAATCTAATTTAATTAGTGATTTTTTTCCATGAAATATAATTAATCATGATTGTATCTGTCACGTATTGAGGTAAATACGTAAATGCAAGTTTATTATGAAAAAAAAAAGAATATATATATCTATCGCAATAGACAACGATATTGCGTAGTAGATAACATTATTACGTTATAGACAAAATATGAATACGTAATAGAGAACAAGATCAAGGTTAAAATATAATGTTTGTTTGTCCTTGATCAACAATACAAGATATAGTTGAGATCACGAGAAGATCAAAGAAAAATGAAAGAACGAAAAGAAAAACAACACACACACACGTATATGTATACGTTTCGCGTATTGCCAAGATAAAACGAAAAGAAATAGGAAAATCAACAGAAACACAAAGAAAGGAAACAGAAAAGAAACAATAGTTAATGTCAATACATTACAGTATCTCGATAATTTTCTGATGGATTTTTCCAGTATTCGATCTCGTTTCTAGAGATCATATTTTAGGGTAAGACAGGCCAACCATAAATGTGTTTATACCAATATTTGAACTTTGACAAAGTTAACGATTGGTCATGTACCCCTAAATATCAGACTTCTATAGCAAATTATATGTATACTTGATATTTTTTGACGTTGACAAACTGGTTGCATCTGTCTATTGAACTGCAACAACTTATGGACCAGCAACCATCCCAGAGGCAGACATTTTGTTTTTTTTTTTATTTATATCAATTAAATATTTACAAATTCTTTGATATTAAGAAAATTTGAATTTTACGGAGTTAACAGATCCTCTTATACATCTGATCAGTCTATTTAACAATTTGAATTGTGTGAATATTAAGCAGAATGAAAAAAAATAGAAAGAAGTTGTATTGAAATTCTGACGAAAATATTCAGTTCAATTTTCATTAATAAATTATTTATTTCCGAATATTAGATTTGATTGAACGATTCGTAGACTAAAAAAAAAGACTTTTTTAAGATTATAGTGCATATTTACCTAATTTTTCAACTGAACGTAATAGAAAGACTAATATGGAGTGGTTGGATATTAACAACACTTCCAATGAGATTTGTAAAACTTATATGTTTCAACTTATTCCTTCGAATTTTCAACAAACAGTTTTCTCTTTTGATTTTAATTTTTAGTTTAACTAAATATTAGATTTGTTTATTCAAAGGTATTACCAAAATATATTATAAAGAAAATGAATATATTCCACATATATGTAGAGAAATTCCTAAGTATGATTCATAATCTCATTGTTAGATGACATTGGAAATTAGCCAACTTCTTATTCATAGCAGACAACATTACATGACGCATGTTCTACACATGCATGAATAAGACAATCTTTTTTTTAGGATGTAGAATCTGCCGGATACTCAGGTTACCTTATTGATCGTGACCTAATGAAGTTCTGGTCTGTTAGTGAAATTCACCGTGACCTTATCAATAGTAGGCAGAAGAATAGATGCCATAGTACGTAGTAACTACTGGTTCGGTGGAAAAATTATTTAGCTCAGTTGGATTGACATTTACTCAAAAAAACCAAGTTAAGTTGATAACATATTATTTATCCGTTCATACAAGAAATTGAAGAGAAATCAATAAAAAAAAGTGATCGCTTCTCGTTGTTCATCGGTTTATATTGATTACATTTTGAATCATGTATCTATATATTTGTTTTATTATTGTTTAATTCATCTTGTGGATGTCAAGTACTTTTTTTTATTGATCACTTTATTTCTGCTGGAAAATATATGATAAGATTTATTTACATGATTATATTGTAAATGAGGTTTGTATAAATCGTACGTCTATTATATTTAACATCGTATCTCATATACAAACAAGTTTTTATCCATCTGCAAAAAAAGTCATGAAAAGATTTTTCTGCAGGCTAAATACAGGAAGGTCTTTTGTCCTGCAAAACAGCATGACTGGTGAGGAAATGTTTTCGAATTCGGATTCTATGCATAAGGTAGACTCCAGTAAGATATGAAAAGTCTCAAAAGGATAAGCTTCTTTAAGCTTTCTGTCCATAGTTATAGGCATTTTACTAGAATTTAAGCCTCTGACATGGTATATATCAACAAATCGAAATAACGTCATTTGATTTATTGGTAAATACCATACCAGAAGCTAAAATTCTAGTAGAATTCCTATAAACCTGGATAGAAGATCTAAAAGAACTTATCTATTTGATATGTTTCATATCTCACTGAACTCTATCTTATACAAAGAATCCGAATTCAAAAGAAATTGATCAGTTAAAAACGTTCCCTCGTCAGTAACAATTCAGAACAGAACAAAGAAAAATCGTCCAGTGATGTTTTCTGATTCATAATGAATATGAAAATGCATTATTCTTATGGATGCAACATTATTCAATTTTGAGAAGAATATTTGTACATGTTTGTATAAATATTCTTTTTTTTTGTTTTAATCCTTAGACAAAATTGAAATATTTTCTAAATCAAATAGAGAAAAAAGAAATTTGCTTTGATTGCAAACAATCTCCTTTGAATGCATATACAAAAGAGAAGTTGTGTAATGATGTAGTTTACAAAGGAATTTCTAAACAAGGATCATGTTGTTAAGTAAATATCAAAATTAATCCTTTGTGCATTGTCCTTACGTTTTAACATAAAACGTTACTACCGAATATAATTTGGAAGCATCGAGAAGGCAACATCGTCGATTCATGTTTCTCCGTTTATGATTCATCGTTTTCTCTCCCTCGCATACACATAGTGACGTCAATACTTATTTGCAAAAGAACCGATTGACTCATTTTTCTTTGTCGTATTTGCATATATAAAAGAACAAGAAGAAATAAGTAGTCAATACATAAAAAAAAAGTTTCTTATAGTACAAACGAGTAAAAAGGCATTTACTGCGTATAGCAAATAATAACTATGAGTAAGTTTTGATGTTGAAAATTTTTAATTTTCTATTACAATATTTTCTATAGATTATATAACAAGAAAATTAGAAGAAAAAATTGGTTTAGACTTAAATGGTGATGGTCGAATTGGAGGACCTGGAATAACGTCTAAAATCGAACAAGCTACTCATGTTGATTTTAATCGTGATGGAATCGTTGGTGGATATAGACCACCACCGGGTGGAGGTAATTTTATACTATGTGTATAATATAACTTTCTATTTATCTATTGAATAGGTCTTATTGGTAAAATTGAACGAGCAACACATATTGATTTAAACAGAGATGGATATATTGGTGGTCGACCTGGATATTATTATCCTCCACCACCACCATGTCATAAGAAGAAACATTAATTGACAATTTAAATAACTATATTTAAAAATTGATATTTCATGTTTTTTTTTTGAAGAGAACTAACTTCAGCAATTGTTTGTAAATAATTTTCATATTTGTATTTTATTGTAATTAGCTAATCTATATATATATATTACAATAAAATAAATCTCAAAAAAAAAAATTTATTATAAAATAATGTTTTGCTTTATCTTTTCTTATGATTTTAATAATAAACTGATATTATCGTCAAAATAAGTTCTTCTCTTATGTTTAGATTTTTTCGTCATAGTAAAAAGAAAATTAGTAGATCTATCATCAATAGCTTAATATAAATTTTTATAAATGAAAGAAACATCTATATATTTTTGTTATAGTAATTTTGAAATTTAAATGTTTTAAAATCTTTTAACTGTACTTTTGAAAAGTTTATTTCTTTGTATTGATAGCTATGTAGTCAAAGTATTATAGAAAAAAAATCATATGTTCAACATTTTGTCTTTAAAATTTTTTTTTTTCATTAAAACGATTACTAACTTCAGGATTTTTTATTTTGTTTTGAAATTGATATAGATAAAGTGTATGATAACATTGAACGATAATTTATAAGTTGATCTTTTCGATTTGTTTTTTTTTCCTCAAATATCTCAAGATTTTCTTTTAGCATAATCAAGAATCAACTTAGATTATTAAATAGAGTAGAACCTTTTGGAATTATGATACATACACGAAATTTTGATGTAGAAATCAAGTCTTGAAAGACTTCAATGTCGTAATGATTGACAATTGAACAAATCTTTGTGAAGTCTGTCTTCATCAACTAAATTAAATTCGTCCTTTATTTTTGAGAATATTGATGTACTAGTTAACCTCAATATATATTATTATGTAATACACTGCTAATTAATCTTTTTACTTCTTGTCTTACACCGAAATATACAAATATCATATAAATAGATATGATTTATTTATAGTTACAACATAGTATGTGAAGGTGAAGAACAAAAAACAATCACTGAACAAACAAATGAGTAATATATTAGTAGACATTATTTTCAGGTTTATATTGTGAATCGATCATGACGCATAAGTTGAATATCCACAAAAAAATTCATCTAAATAAAGTTTTATGTTAAAAAATAATATACCTAAATTATAAATCACGATTATGACTGGCTATTGGATGATGCATAAATCGAACGCTAGGCTTCTTAGGACTAATGCAAACCAAAATTCACGCTTGTTTATTTCATGTATCAAACTATTGCATTCATTTTTCATTCATATAAAGTCTTCGTAATTGGCATAGTATTTATTATTTATATATCTTAAGATAATAATTCGTTATTTCATCCTTTCGATTAATTACATCAAACATCAGACATGATAAATTTCATTGTTCAAGTACATAAGATTCATTCCATACTTTCAATAATTCAAATTTCTATTTTCAATCGGAATATCAGAGAAAATTATTTTGCTAAATTTTCACTTTACATTTATTCATATTCTAACAAAAATTTCTCTCTTGAAATATTAAATATTGCAAAAAAAGTCAATTTTTCTATCTTCTGAAATTATGATCATTTCATTTAGAAATATTTTCAATATTCTTAGTTCACTAATGTTTATTCAATATGCGTGTTCTATGAACATCTTAACTCGAAATTGATTATATATTTAATTCACACACATACACACACACATTTGTATTTTTTCGAAAAGCACTGTCATGATTTTCACATATTGATAAAATTTTCTAATCTACGACAATAATAACAAAAAAAAAAAACAAGTCTACATTCTATTATTCGAATACTAACAATAATTTGATCAAAAAACACAAATATGCATCTATCATTTTGTGTATAGAAGAAAATTTCCTGAAAATACCTATGTCCATTTTTTTTGGTTTATGTTGTTGTATATCGTGTGAAAGATGTTGGAAGTGTATCATTAAAAAGCGTTGTATATGCTGTTTTAATTGAATTAATATAACTTTGCATTGTTCGATTTCTATTATTCGATTGTTCGAGTTTATCACGTAATTCAGCTAATTGTGTTGCAAAACGTCGTTCAAGTTCATCTTTTTCTTGTTTTAATTGTGAATATTCACGACGGAGTCTTGATATTTGTTGTTCAAGATTAAATGCATCTTTTGAAAGAAAACGTTCCTATGCAAATAATAATTATTAAGAAAAAAAAAATGAAAATATTATACTAATTACATTAGAACCATATGTATCATCTTGAAATCTAAAATCTGGTTTTTTCAAATCATTTTGTTTATTCATTGATGGTAATTCATATGTTTTAGCATTGAGACGATGCTAAATAACAAAAAAAAAATGAATATAGGAGCTTATTCATAAGTTCCAGAAACGATGAATAACTGTGTCTCATTAATGTCCATGCGTGTTAATCCCCAGCGCGACAAACTCTAATGTGTACCCGTCACGAAAGAAACTCGTCTGTTTTTTAATAGAAAACATGTAGAATAAATAAAATTAGATACATTATGAACTTCCTATTATAAATAAATAAAAATTTCATTGATAGTTTACTTGTGCATTTCGTAATTCTTCTTCTTTTGCATTAAGCATTTTTATTAATTTTTCATTTTCTTCTTCTAATGAAATTATTTGTCTAAAAATAGAAACATGAAAAAAAACCAATAAGAACAGAATATTTTCTTAAATATAAATTACCGTTGAAGGGTACGAATATCATCATTAGATGAAAAACGATTAGATTTAACTTGATCAGTTAGAAAATTTGATTGTTGAGGTAAATATTTTCTAAGTTCATCAATATCTTTTTGAAGTTTTTCTCTTTCTACTTCAGCTTGTTTTAATAATTCAGGTAATGGTTCAAGTTCTTCAATACGTTTTTGTAATCGATTACGAATTTTTTCTAATTCAATTTCAGATAAATGATTTTTACTATGATTAGCTGATGCTTTAAATGTTTGAGTTTGTAATTGTGCTCTATATTCATTGACTAACTGTTCCGTTTCTTCAAGTTTTGTTTTTAAACGTAGAATTTCTGAATTTGTATCATCTTTTTGTTCATTGGTAGTAGTATTATTATTATCATGTAATTTTCTTTTTAATTGATTTATTTCATGATCACGATCATTTAATTCATTTTGTAATCTTTCAATTGTTATTGCCTTTGGTTTATTTGTAATATTTGATGAAGATGAACAAGAAGAAATAGAATATCTTGGTTTATATTTCATAGATCGATGAAAATTACCGCATTGACAATGACTACGTTGAAGATCACGTTCTAATGACTAGAAAGAAAGAATTTAATAAGTTATTAAAAAAGGATACGAGAACTTTTTGAGATATATAATAAATGTCTATCATAGTTAGGAATCAAGAGTAACTATTTCAGATAAAATGTTTATGCCTATAAAAGTCAGAATTAAAATAGTTTTATCTATGATCAAATTCGAATTAGTTATAGTTGTACAACGAAAACTTCAAGTCGAATTTGGTAAATACACACCAACTGAACATTGCTTAGAACTACATTTCAACGATTCTGTGAAGGTGATACTAGTGAAGATCATCAGTAGTTATTGAAGAAAAAGTCAATGAAATTAATAACATTTGTAAAATTTTGTGCAAGAGACTGAACACTTGACTCTGACTGGTTTTCACCAATATCATTAACTTTTTCTTAAGTAATTACTGTTAGTCTTTCAGATCGTGATCGATCTTCAACGGTACCAATTTCACGAATGTATTTCTAATATAATATGTTTCGATTGTTCTGCATCTTAATATAACAAATTATATAGTTTTTGTTACATTCAAATAAATCCATATTTCTCTATTTCTAATAAAGATCAATCTTTCATAAAAGAGCTGAATCGTGATAATTAAATCATTTTGATATATAAAGTGTTGAACAAACCTACGAAAGGCTACCATTCTTTATAATATTAAGCTGATATTTTAGTTGTATGCGTGCGACAATAAATGCTGATCGCAAACATCATTCTACCCTTCATCAGTTCACGTTCTCTTTTCGTTATGAAAAACACATTCAACGGAAATATATATTCAGAAAGGTTTTCTTTTTGTCATCCACAAGCCGCTACTGCTTTTTTTAATGATCAAAGCCTATGACATACAGTCAAGGTCATAGTAATTATCACATTGTGAGATAGTAAACCCTTATCCTACCACTAATTCGACTTTATTCAGTGCTGTGACTCTAAAATTTTTAGAAGAGATTCATAGCAGAGATGTCCATCACGGCTGAAAACCTGCTACCGCCACGAAGATTTTTTAAAAAATCTGTCGCTACCGCGATGGGTTTTTAAAAACCTGTCACAGCTGTGTCACCACGGACATCTCTGATTCATAGTTTCATGAGAACTTTCTACCGAAATTATCAAATGAATCGACCAAGATCATCATGAAAAACATTTATCTTACTACAAATCAGCATTTTGCTTTTCAATAGATACTCTGAATAAGAAGAAGATGATGTGTGAACCGATCGAAGGTGGGTTGGGGTACTTGCAATCAGGGTTTATTGTCGCATGCATCCAAAGTATCAGCTCAATATCATAAAGCGAAGCTCAGATGGTATTTATGTCTTAAATGAAGATGTTTATTTATTAATATAAAACAGACTTATTTCAGTTAAAATTATATTAGTCATGATATTTCGTAATTAATCAACTAAATTAAATCTTTAATAGAAATCAAACATACTCGTAGAGCACATTGTAATCGATGAATTTCTCCTTCTTTTGAATATAATTCACGTTGAAGATGAGCACGATTATGTTCTAATGATGTTTTCATTGTATCAAAACCAACAGTTTGTGTTTTTATATGTTCAAGTTCTGTTTGTAAAGCAATATTATCATTTTCTCGATCACTTAATAAACGTCTTATTTTTTTATTCTCATTTGCAATTTCATGTAAATGTGTTTCTAATGTATAATATTTATCATAAATAATACCATGTTCAGCTTCTAAATGATATTGATGTTGAAGAAATTTTTTAAGTTTACTATTTGAACGTCCAAATTGTTCAATCGAATGCAATAGTTCATTTCGTTGTTGATACAATTGTTCAACGTCGAACGATACTGTTTGATCATCCTAAAGGCATGTAGAATACTTATGTACAAAAGAAACTTTCTTTTTTTTTTTTTTGTTTCAAATAACTTTAAAACAGAAGCCTTATAGATATACAAATAAAACAGTTCATAAGTAAAAAGAACAATTTTCTCTTCAATTCGTTTACGACATCACTAGGTCAAGTATGTGATATAAGACATTGAAGAAATCAATGAAATATTTTTGTAAACAACAGACAATGTTCATTTAAATTCTTTATCATTTTTCTTTTTGAATATCACATTTGAAATAATGTCAGATACTGTATAAAGTAATGGATAGGTTAAAGTTGCATGAAAGATGTTTTTGATTTTTTTGAGAAATTACTTTCTGCAAGAATTGCAGTGTCTGACGTCGAATCGAATGGGATATTGAGAAAGAAAAATGATAAAAAAAGTTTTGTCTAGTATTATATGTGTGTTGAACGTTAAGGTTTTATCTTTAGAGTTTAATTATTATTAAATCAGAATAAACAACTTTCTAACAATCAAATTTTCTGGAAATAAGAACTTACCATTTTATGAAAAGTTTTATTAATTATTCAAATAAAACAAGAAAATATCAGATAAGTGTATTCCAAAGAAGTAAAATTATTATATTGAAAGAGCTTATGAAAGAAAACAAATAATGATAATACAGTACTCGAAAAAAAGTTTCACAGCCAGGTAAAAAAAATAGACGTTAGACATCTCATTCAACAGCATAGTGCTGCTTCTATTATAAATAAAAATATTCTATGCCAGACGGTTTTATTTTGCCTGATTTATAAGTTAATCTTCACATGAGAGGTGATATGAAAGAAAACCAGTGCTTTTTATCGTAAATCATTTGCATTAGGTTCGGATCTCTACTTGTGATCAGGATTTACCAAGTCGTATTTGTAGTCAAAATATTAGGTAAAAAGATTGAAGTTTATATGCTGTTTACTCGGTAGCGAGACTTCATGCGACTACTATATGTAAATAATACAGTAAAAATTGTTTGCTACTGATAATAAAATTCAAGATCTTTCCAATTCAAAACTGCTCACGAGAAAACCACCCAAGGCAATAGTTCACATTTGAGATGAGAGCCCAGTCATTACGTGAAGCCTGTCGAAACGGATTCTTCTCTATGCGCTGCTCTTTTGGAGTTATGACCATTATACAGCATTTTTTACCTTTGGCACTATATTTTTAAAAACATCGGACAAACGAATTTTGTTCCATAGACAGCTTTGGACCAAAATTCGTTTGTCCAGGTTTTTTTTTGTAAATACAGTATCAAAGGTAAAAAATCCAGTAAATAGTCATAACTTCAAAAGAGCAGCGGATGGAGAAGAATCATTCCAGGTTTCTCCTATTATCCGATCTAAAATAAAAAGTAGGTTATCATTTTTCAAATAACTTTTGATAGGAACGAGGTAGAGAGCTGCAGTTTTCACCATTTGAAAGAGCGATATCCGAACCATCGATCAGTATAGAACTCATTACGATGAAAGATGGTTTTTTTATAGGTATCTTTGAATCAACACTTTTTCCCTTGAATATTTTCATCAATTTTCACAATAATCTCAACTCAAATTATGTCAAAATGTAGCTCAAATCACCTTTTCTTCGCCATAAAATTAACATTTGTTTTTTTTAAAATCTGCTTCGAATAAGAGGTTGAGAGATAATAAAATATGTGATCATTTTATAGCGAAAAACGAATGATGATTTGAGCTATATTTTGATATAATTTGAGTTGAGATTATTTTGAAAATTGATGAAAATATTCAAAGGAAAAAGTGTTGATCCAAAGTCACTTAAAAAAAACACCTTTCGTCTTAATAGGTTCTACGCCGATCAATAGCTCGGACATCACTCCTTCGAATGGTGAAAACTACAGCTCTCTATTTCGTTCCTATCAAAAGTTATTCGAAAAATGGTAACCTGTCTTTTATTTTGGATCGGATAATAATCTTAACAAGCTCCACGTAATGACTGAAAACTCATCGTAAATACGATACCACCTCGGATGATTCCTTCGTCAGAACTTTCATTAGAGTACTATGATACACACACACATTCGCAATATAAATATCAGCACTAGCATACATTCACAAGTACGTATCTATGGTTGTATAATATCTTGTTTCAAAATGTCGTTAAAATCAAAGATAAATTCTGTACAATGTGATTCAATATTGTCGATTGCAATATATATTCATACATACGAGTTTAAATTTTCTTAGAATCTCTGTCAGTGAAGATAATTTTTTTGTAATTTGTGCAATATCAGCTTCAGAATCTGCTAATGTTATTAATAATTGTTCTCGATCTGAACTAAGATGAATTGGACCTTGTATTGGTGTTGTACTACGCGTTCGTTGTCTATATTCATCAAATCATTTTAAAAAAAAAACTATAAAGTAAAATAATAAACCTTTCAATAATTGAATCATCATGAAATGAAACTTTCGGTGTTGTACTTCGTCTTCGTCGTTGTTCATCAAGACTTGATGAACGATTACTATTACGTATTGGTGATAAGGATTTTGAACGTAAAATTTTTGATTTTTGAGAATTAATTGTTGTATTGTGTTTATCATGTTCCGTATTCCAACTATCTTCGTCATCAAGTAAAATTTCTGTAACTGGATTGATTTCTAAACGTGATGTTGTATTCTATGATAAAAAAAATATAAAGAAACACAAAAAAAAATTAAAATAAATTATTTGCAAACCTGCCAAGAAACTTTTTGCCCTTTCGTTGAACGACCTGGTGCTGGAACCCTAAATTAAATAATGTTGAATATATATATATTGTTTTTTTTTTGAAAAAATTTTATCAATTCTTCTTACCATGGTTCTCGATTCGATGATGAACTTCGAGAGTTTGCTGGTACAATTAATTTAGGAATAACAGCTCGTTTAGGAATATGAGATGATGGTGATAATATAGGTTTTGTTTTCGTAGTTTTAGCTTTGTTCATAACACGTGTATGCATTCGAGGCATTTGTCGACCTCGACGAATAGATGTTTGAGTATTTTTTTTAACGTTTGATTCTTTCCGTCGTTCATTTCCAACATGAACATCAACAGGAGTAATGGCTTGCATCTCAATAACAAGTACACATTAAGATTTATAGTAGTTGATCATCGATTAACTTATTTTCTTTTGTTTAATTAGAAGACATACTGATTTCATATATAAATCATAAACTAAGTTATGTCCTCTTTATTGAATATAAGAATGACATTTTTTGTTAGATTGACTTTGAGTGACATCTGAAGGAAGTATGCTTAGTATTTGACCGAATGACAATTTTTCCATTGAAAGATTAAAACTAAGGTTGAGATAGTTTCAATCTGTGAAATGGTTAAAAAGTTCTTCGGATAGAAAATGATCTCTAGAAATAGTTCTTAAAGCGTTTAACCGCCTTTTCACAGTTTATTTTCCATAACTCTAGCTGAAATCGTTAACAGCGTCGGCATTTTTTTTCTCAAAAAAAAAAACACATTTCAACAATATTTTTCTATTTTACTTTGATTATCAAAAACTAAGTTGTAACTTGAAAAAATATATTACTGTTTCGTTCTCAGTAAGTGATGCTATTATCACTTACTATTGTCAAATTTTTTTTAAAATGTCAATTACCATTTTTTGAATAACTTTCGATCGTTTATAGCTATCGGAGTTGGATTCTCGTCACTAGATAGAGCAATATTGGGGGGCATGTATCAGTGTAACATTCATTAAGCTCGAAAAAGTTTTTCAAAGATATTTACAGTTGAACATTTTTTGTATTATCCATTTCAACAACTTTCCGTAGGAACTTATGCTAAAAATGCAGCCGCAGTACTCATAAAATTTTTAGATTTGAGAACACTTCTCTTGTGACATGAGTCCAAGGTGAGGATGAAAAAATCGAACAAGTATAAAGGGAATACAGCAGTCTTCAAGCTACATTTTAGTGTAATTCAAGCATAGGTTGCTACGAAAATGGACAACGAAAAAAATGATCAAGTGCAAATATGCTTGAAAAACTTCCTCGAAAATAATGAATGTTACACTGATACACGT